TTTAATAAAGCAAAACCTCAAATTACACAAAAGAGCTGTAACCACATTCATGCAAATAGAAATACAATACAGCTTTCCTTCAAATTTCTACCTCGTGTGGAGGTTCAGGTGTGTTTGTGTCTTAACATTAACAGCAGCCCTTTTTTTCATATGCCCTACATGCATTTGGTTCCTGCCTGAGCAGGGCTTTTGTTCAAACTCTGAATCTATTAGGGTCTTGAGCCCCTTTTCCAATGCTTGGCTGAGGTTTTCCACCTTTGGCAGAAAAATATTGGTATGGAAATTGCCATTCCCATTGCTGATCCTTGTCCTGCCTCTTGCACAGCACTGCCCTTGCCTGACTTCCCTCCAGATTAATGAGCATTGTAGACTAACACATTGTTTCCATCTTGAAGTTGACTTTGGACAGTATTGGGAATAAGGGATAAGTAGCACTTTAATAACAGTTCAGCTAAGGTTGGCTTAATTCTACCTCATGGCTGGAAATGGGTTGAAGACAATATCACAGAGACATAATGAAGAAAAAAAATGTTGCTGGGGAGCATGTACAGCCTATAGCAGTGGTGGCGAACCTATGGCACGCATGCCAGAGGCGGCACTCAGAGCCCTCCCTGGGCACGCGCACCACCACTAGCAGCTTGCGCAGGTCCATTAGGCCGCCGCCGCCCAGCACAAAACAGGCAAAACAGCAGCAGCCCCGCCCAGCACAAAACAGGCCGGCTAGCAAGCTCGAGTAGAGGTGTTAGAGCATCGAGGTGGCCACGCCTACCTGGCCACACCCACCCAGTCTGCTGTGACCGCCCTGGCCACGCCCACCCAGTGGGCCACACCCCCGCCCTCCCTGAGGGAACCACAATGCTGATGCAGCCCTGGCACTTTGCAATAAATAAGTGGGTTTTGGGTTGCGGTTTGGGCACTCGGTCTCTAAAAGATTCACCATCACTGGCCTATAGAAAAAAAAGTTTTGAATAACACAGGTAGTCAGCAGTTAGTCAAAGGGCACTGGTTTGCATTCTATTTGTAGGTTTGCTAAGGACCAGAGCTAGATTTATTTAAAAATTATTCACTTCAAAATGATAAATGCAAAAAAACCAAAAAGATAAGCTACATGTTTTTTTAATGGAGGTTAGAATTTAGATTTGCTCCCTTTGAGAAAAGACAAAGTTTGCATTTATCATACATGAGTGCAATGTTGATCTCTGGGATTCTCCATACTTTATTACAGTAAATGGCTGCCATCTTTGGGGTAAAAGGTATGTGCCTCATTAGCAAAGCTGGCTGAGAAGCAAGACTTTTCTACTAGGGGTCTAGGCCAATAATTCTCTTAGGTATAGAACACTGGGATCCAGCAGGTAATCCATTCAGCCACCCAAGATTCAAGGGCGAGAAACCATTCACTACCTCAGTCTCCTCCACCTTGCATATGTCCTGACAGTAATGTAACTCAATAGATCAGTGACTGGAAACTGGTTCACTAAAGCACACAAGGTAAATAAAAGGTAATATGATTTCTAAAATTCAGAAAACTGACGGCGAACAGGGCTCAAGCGCAGATATTAACCAAACTCATCTGTGCTACTCTAAAGGAAAGTGTGATCTTGCACAACCCCCTCCCTCCCCAAAAAGTGCAAGTAGGAAATAAAAGGATGGATATTAAACAATGGTATCTCTTTGAGTGGGAAATCCACTCACCTGTAGCCAGCCCCTCAATATTTAGAAATGTCTGTTAAAAGAAACTCCTGCCTAGATTTGTGCTAAGAGTTGTTATGACATGGAGTACATGAAACAATTCAAGTGCAAAGATTTAATTTGGGATTACATTTTTGGCTCAAAATTTACTTTTAAAAGACCTTTAAATGTAAAGGCATACATAAATGGAACATACATAAATGGAACATAAATGTAAAGGCATACATAAATGGAACTATAATTGGCTTCTTTTTGTCCAAAATAACTGTTTTCTTAAAACTAATCAAATAAACCATTTCCGTATTTTTTTTCCTGCCAGCTATCTTTGAAACCCACAAATAAATTTCTAACAGCTGCTTTCCCATATCTTTTTGTCTCTTCTCTCAAAATTCTTGTCACATCAAAATCCCTTAGTAGTTCTAGTGAAGCAGCTCCATTAAATTCCTTATAATTTAAAATAAAAAGAATAATCTACATCACTATTTTGGTTTATTCTATAGCTTTTTAAATGTTTAAGTCATGACCCAATTCTATGTTGTAAATCCAATATTTCCCCTTTTTTCTTGTAAATTGTAATTTTAAAATCAACTTAATCTCTGTTTCAATTTTATTCAATGAGGCTTGTTCCTCTTCAATAACAGCTTTCGATTCCATTACAGAGTTCAATAGACCCAAACATCAAATGTTTCCTTTAAAGTAGCCATCTGGTGCCCTCTAATGTCCAAACTTTCAAAGACTTGTTAATCAGTTTGTAATGTAAGGGGGGGAGGGGAAATCTCACGAGAGATGGTCTTTTTAATTAACTTCAAAATCTTTTTTAATTTAAATTCATCTGAATCCTTAATCCATTTACAGAAAACTTTCTAAAATCAACACTGTAATAACCCTTTTGCTGTGTATTGCAAAAAAGAAAAACCTCTTTAAAACTGTATACATATCATTTTCTTACTTTTTAAATGGATTGAAGAGAAACACTCAGCAAGTGCCAAACTTGCAGTATTGATGAGTTTTTTTTTAATCTTTAACAAACAATAAGGGGGGAAAGCTCCAAAGCGATTAAAAAGATGAAGTTTGGTTGACCTTTGAGACCCTCTAAGAGGCTAGAAGATTAATAGTTCAAAGTACAATGGAATCCCATGACTCCCAGCTGTTTGCAAGGGACCAGTAAAACATCAGTTTCTGTTACCTACTCACCAAAAAAAGCTGTCTGGAGTATGCATAGGTAATCCAAAGATCTCCCCATCCGGAGAGAGAATTTTTGGCAATCTGGATCCAGTATCCAGCTGCCTTTCAGCTGCAATATCTCCCAGTCATTTTGCCATTCCTCACTTGAAGTGACTTCAAAATACAGGTAGTCTTTGGCTTACAACCATGGTTAAGCCCCAAATTTATGTTGCTAAGTGAGACATTTGTTAAGTGAATTTTGCCCCATTTTATGACCTTTTTTGCCACAGTTGTTAAATGAATCACTGCAGGTATTAGGTTAGAGATACGGTTGTTAAGTGAATCTGGCTTCCCCATTGACTTTGCTTGTCAGAAGGTGATCACATGACCCCGGGATACTGCAACCGTCATAAATATGAGTCAGTTGCCAAGTGTCTGAATTTTGATCACGTGACCCTGGGGATGCTGCAACGGTCATAAGTGTGAAAAATATCATAAGCCACTTTTTTTAGTGCCGTTGTAACTTCAAACGGTCACTAAATGAACTTGCAAGTCGAGGACTACCTGTATTAGTTTTTCTACAATGGGTATAGAGAAAGAAATTGAATCAGCTAGTTTCCCATCCAATTTACCAGCTTCTTCCTCAAGCCATAGAGAAAGATCTTCAGCCATCAGCTCCTTGAGCTGCAAATAAATTTTCAAACGCTTCCTTTTTGCTGTTCCGAAGGGATTTATCAATCCTTTCATTCTCCATCATTCAGTCAGAACTGAAGAATTCTTGGATAAGAAGGGAAACGTTTTCAAGGAATAAACCAAGAAAATCCTGCTGCCTTTTGAAAAAGCACCTTTGGGACAACCATGACCTGGATGATTGACAATCTCCATAGACGTTGGTTGGGACTTTTTGAAAGCCTGATTGCTATGTCAAAGGGAAAGCCATTTCAAGTGGTGATTTTGCTCAGTAGAGCAATCGTCACCATCTCCCTGCCTCCCTGCCTGCAATAGAATGGTACCATCCTGAGATGGCTGAACCCTTGGTTGGATGAAATGTGAACAGGACAACATGAACAACAAAACACAGGGGTTTGAATATAAAGGGTATATATTTGTAGCCTGTGATCTGGCAACCACTCTTTTTTTCTTCCTCCAATTTTATATAATATAAAAGGGAAGGAGGAATCAAAATATATGATAAAGATTTTCAGAAGGCTTTTCTCAATCATTGAAATCCTGTTGATCACCCATGGGCAAAAAAACATAGTTTCATCTACTGTGGTTAGGTGAATTAACCTCTGTTGGATGGACTTGCTCAAAAATAAACCATAATTCATAGTTAGGTTTATGCCAGGTACCTAAATTTCCCCTTTGTGATACTGCTTTTTAATTGAAAGCTTTTAAAAACCAGTGTATAAGCAACAGACTGGCTGCATGGTGTCTGATAATCATGTCAATACATGTTCCAAATGACCTCCCCAGCTGCTGGAAGTAGTTATATTTTAAATATGCTCAATACATTGCTTGTTTTGAACTAGTTTTCCATCAAGCCTTATTATGTCTGAAGGATGCAGAAAGCCCACTGCAGCTCATAGTAACTTCCCTCACCAGTTCCCCAAGCCCCCACCCCACCCCCCAGCCTCTAGACGCTGACATTCTTTTAAGCGAGGCTTCCAGATATCGAAACACAGACATCCTGCTTGGAAAGTGTGAGTTGTCCCACACAGAGTAGGGGGTCTTCCTCAGTGTAATCAAGGAGTTGGAGATTGACTTCCCTGCCAGTGCAAAAACCTATTACATTCTGGAATTGGTTAAGTAATTCATTCTTCTGTTTTTTGCTTCTCTGGTAATCATGTTTTATGATTCATGCTTCTATATGTGAAGCTTGTTGAGCAGGGGGCTGGACTAGAAGATCTCCAAGGTCCCTTCCAGCTCTATTCTATTCTATTCTAAAATTTCTTGGCTAGGGGGATTACACATTTTTAAAAAAATGGGACTTGAGAGATGCAATCAAGCACCCAGGAGCGGGACCCAAAGTTTTGGCTCTAGCTTGTTGTTGTTGTTTTTTTTAAAAAATAATGGAAGTAGTCCTTATTATAAACTGGACTCCTTGATTGTAATATTTATAATAGCAGATTCTTGTTATTTCACAGGCTAGTTCCAAAAACATCTTTGTCATCACCTCCATGGCCTGAAATCAAGCTACCAGATCCGGCAGAAGAGGCAGAACATCACAGAGGTAAATAATCTGTACCCACTCAAAAAAACATAAAGTATGACCCTTCTGTTTGTTTCATTTTGATATTGTCACTGCCTCCCTTTTGTTTCTGCTTTTGATTTAATAAAGACATGTAATCATTAGCACAGAATAACAGAAGAAACACAAGCAACATTAGTATTAGTGAAGTTGTCTTCAGGAGTTTCATACAGAAAGTGACTAGATTTGTCTTCTAGATATTGACGTGGTGTGCCCTCTTAGTGAATGCAATCACTATTGGCAGATTGTTATGTAATCAGCATTGCCTCCTTAAAGACCCAACCCTACCTCTTATGTTTCATAATCCCAAAAAGAAAGCCCTCACTTTGATTGGTGCTAACTGTGCCCTGTCTGAGAACATGTGAATGAAACGGTGTCTTTTGCTAGACTTGAACAGGTGCCATGCAATCCCACTGATGATAGGTTTTGAGTTCAATGGTCAAAGTTCCATGCTACATCTTCGTGCTGTGTATTTTTCAGGATTATGCCAACCCAAGGAATAGTGCAGCTTTTGTAAGGAGATGCTCACAAGTTGAGGTGCCTGTGGTCCTGCCTATACTGCAGCCAACCTTTCTGGCTTTAGATCCAATGCAGTGTGCATTTCCCCTTACCTTAACATTGCTTTAGAATCAGTTCTTTTAAATCCTAAGAAAAGCAGCATTGTGGATGCTGTAATAGGAATATTCATCTAAGGCAGCTATTCTCCCATACTCTTCTCAATGCATGTATTTCGTTTAGAGAGCCATGGTGGTCTGTAATTTAAAATGTTCCCGACTAGTAGTGGGAAGACACAGGTTCTACACCAGTGATGGCGAACCTTTTAGAGACCGAGTGCCCAAAGTGCAACCCAAAACCCACTTATGCATCGTTGAGTGCCGGGTGGGCGTGGCCCATTGGGTGGGCGTGGCCCATTGGGTGGGCGTGGCTGCAGTGGTAACGGCAGGCTGGGTGGGACTAAAAAGTTCAATCAATCAATTCCAACTTTGCAAGATCTTTTTTTTCCCAAATTGACTGACTGAACCATTTTGTGGGGTTTTTTTGGACATGGCATCAGAGGCCTAAAGCAAAAAGATTTTATAAAACCCAGCTGAAGGCTTGGGACTGGGGCGACGGCGCGCGTGCCCACAGAGAGGGCTCTTGAGTGCCGCCTCTGGCACCCGTGCCATAGGTTCGCCACCACTGTTCTACACCTTCAGCCACAAAAGGGAACCAATCATTCCCTCTCAGCCTAAACTATCTCAAGTCTTGTTTCAGGGCAAAAAAAAAAAAAAAAAACCCAACAGGGAACAATCTAAGTACCATTTTGAGCTCCTGAACAAAATGTGGAATATAAATCAAATAAGTTTAATTAGTCAATAATTAAATTTAACTCATTTACCAATTTTCTTCCAGAGATTGTACAAAACGTGAATGAGTTAATTGCCACTGGGCAATATGGAAGACTGTTTGCAGTTGTTCACTTTGCCAGCAGACAGTGGAAAATAACCAGTAAAGACTTGATTTTAATTGAAAACCACATACCTGCTGAATGTGGAGACAGAATCAGAATGGAAAAGGTAGGCTTCATGTTAGCAGTCATTTTTTTCTCCCTATGTTAACCCAAAAGATTACTTTGCCATGAACGTATCATTAAATCAGTGTAACGCACTGCCTCCATCTCACCATGTCATTAGCTACCTGTTAGCATATCCCGCAAGAGTGCATGTCCTGTGACGGGAGTAAATACTGTAGTAGAAACAGGGAGACAGAGCTGAAAACATTAAAGAATGCTGGGAACTATTTATTGAAAACATCAAAATGGTTTTCTGCTGATGGCTAGACAGAAAAAGATGATCATAAATCACAAAGCCCATAGGAACCCTTTTAAGATTCAAATGGCATTGCAAGAAAAAAAAAGAATAAAGTGATAAGTGATGAACTGTGGAAGAAAGGTTGCTGATAGGCCTGTGGTCTAGATAGGCAAGATAGGAGTGGAGAAGCATTAATAGTCCTTACCTGTTTCCATTAATCCGGGCTTTTATCTAAGCTTCCACTTCTTTATTCTTAAGTTAAATAAGGCATATAGTACCTCAGTTTCCCCAAGTTAGAATTTCTGTGCCTCTTACTTTATTGTTCCAATTTGTTTCTCTTACTTTGTCCTTTTCTTACTAGTGCAAGTTCCTGAGACTCCTTTAGCTGCTTCCTGAACTCTCAATCAGGCAGTTGTACCCTTTGGTGTCAGATACTGGCCTACGCCTTCCTTCTAATGCTACAGATCCCTATTGGCAACTTTTAGATCCTCTGGTAGCCTTCTTTTGTCATACCTTTCATGCTACCACCAACCCCATTGATGTTTTCAAGGTCTTAGACCCTGTGAGTTGAGACCTCAGTTTTAGATGCTTCCTCCAGAATTCCAGAATAAGGTTTATTGAAAGCAGATTATAGCCTCATAAGACAATTGAACAGCACATATTGTATACTGTACAAGAACTTTTAATATATAAATAATTTAAATCAGGCTATCCAGTTTCCAACATCTTCCTCTGATCAATCTGAACACACACAAACACACGAAGGAGAATGTAACAGCTCTTATCTTAGTAGATAAAGCATTGTCTTCAGCCTGAGAACTTTCTCAACACTATGGCACAACTAATTCTGACTTCCTCCATTAAACTCTTGGGGTTGGAGGAAAATATACCTTGAATTACTTACTTCTCTGTGTTAGTTTATGTGGGCATTTCACTTTTTCAATTGATGTCTCTGTGTCCCTGTGGCACTATAAAACATACTTAGATTTGTGTTGAACCTGTTGCCCTCTGTATACTTTGGAGAACCTCTCACATCAACCCCAGCCATGTTTTGTAGGGGCTAAAATCTCAGTTATTATTTGCCTAATTCAAACTAATCACTGTCATCTTTAGACAGGACTTCCAAGCATGGGATCTTTTTTAAACTGATTTATTCTGCTTCTATCCAGACATGTTTTAATTATACATTGCCATATATATGTGCTCTGATTTGTTCATGGTTCAATACTCAGACTAATCCACTTAACAGTCAAACAGCCTGGATAATTGAAGATTCACATAAAATAATATGCCACTGAGATGAACTGTGTTGTCTTGTATTCTGATGAAACATTACAATTTGGAATAATTTAGCAATGGAAATAATTTTTTCTCTAATCTGCTCCTTTAATTTTCATTTTGAAGAGACATCCCTGGATATTTATGCACCATTTAACTCAGTAACATAACAGGTGTGAAATAGAAGGAAATCTTGCAAAAATCTATCACATGGGAGAATGAAATTTTACTGGCTTGTTAGTGAAATGAACAAAAAGGCTGCAACAACATTTCACAATTTGGCACTCTTCCAGTATGTTGGGATTATAATTCCCAGAATTCTCAGACAACATGGCAAATGGCTAGGAATTCTGGAACCACCAAGCCTCAGTGCATCTGGAGAGCAGAAAATACATGATTTTTTTTTCTTTCTAGTATTTTCCTGCAAGCGCAGGGTCCAGTTTTTTTTCAAATCAACCAAGTATTGATCCATTAATTACAAGAGGAAATGACCAAAAAGTTTGTCTCCCAAGCCTGACATAATGGGCTGAAAGTAACTGGCCCAAAACCACCCACCCAGCTTTCATATTTAAAGGAGGACGAGAAGACACCGCCTCCTGATTTTTAGCTTTGTGCCTTAACTGCTAGACCAGTGGTTCTCAACCTGTGGGTCGGGACCCCATTTGGGGTCGATCGACCATTTCACGGGGGTCGCCAAGCAAGGCTGTGTGCCATTTTTTTTGTCCGCCATTTTTTTCCCTTTTCCGGCGGGTGCCTTACCTCCCTTGGGCTGGGCCAGCTGGTGGTCGGCCTGCTCCGTCTCTGCCGCTTGCCAGCTACGCCTTGGCCGGCGCAGGGGGCGGAACCACGCATGCGTGGCGCTCCCGGGCAGGGAAAGTCCTCGACTTATGACCGGTTGGGTAGTCCTCGACTTACGACCGGTTTAGTCCTCGACTTACGACCGGTTGGGGTCGCGGCATTAAAAAGGTTGAGAACCACTGTGCTAGACCATGATATTCATGGTTTCATCAGGAAGCTCTCTATATTATTTTCTTGAGATTGATTCTGAGCTGTCAACCCCAGAAACAAACAGGTATCCAACAGGGTGATTTTCTTCTTTCTTTTCAAAATGTGTGGTTATCATTACAGCACTAAAAGAAGTTCATGTCATGCATGAAAACAGTGAAGTCTGCTATCACTCATTGTCTTCTCTTGGGTGTTCCAGAGACGTGGGGAAAACAATGCAATTTTTGTGTTAATTTTTATCCCAAATGGTATTTATTTGACAATCCCCTATTTCATCCTGGTCATTCAACTACCAAGGTGAGAAAACCAAAGTGCAGATTTAAGGGTGCCTCTTCCACAATTACCCTGGTAAGGCTCTGACATATTTTGTAATAGGATGATTAACGTGCATTATTTACTTTTGCCTCAGGTACTGTTGGTGGGAGCTGATAACTTCACACTGCTGGGAAAGCCTCTCCTGGGGTAAGGCATACTTTGGGGTCATTCAATTGTGCTGAATCTTTTCAGAGTCATGTGCACTGGGCTGAAAAGGAGTTCAGAAAGCTTTAGAAAGGATTCTACCAAGCACTCAAAAGCAGCTGAGGAAGGATGTGTGCAGAAAAGAAGGGAATTGCCGTAGCAACTCCATTGTATTTAGACCATCCTTTAAAAAGCAAGTTGAAATAGTAGAGAGTTGCAGTTAGAATCCAAGAGGGAAAGAAGGAGCAATCAGAACTTAAGTATTCAAGGATCTGGGGAGTTCTTATCAAAACAAACTGTCTGTAAAAGGCTACAAATTCTTCTCACCAGGAGAATTAAATCTCATTTCTTATTTTTCTGTTCCTTTCAAACTCTTGATGTTAAAACTCTGAGTTAAAAGAATCACTTAAAGCAAGATCCATTATGGACTGATATAAGCACATCATTTCAGTTTTCTGGGCAGGAAACAACAAAAAAGGAATTTTCATTTTAGAATTTTGCTTTAAAAAGCTCATTAAAACTGTGTCTGTTGCCTTAGTATACTGAACACAATCTAATTAATCATGTTTCCTTGTTCTGAAACATTCCTTCATAGACGAGCAATAGTCCACTTTGTTTTAATTTCCTGGAGAAATCTTCTTGTAGCGTTACCTCCTCAGAGGCCGCCAAAGCCCAGGCCCTCCCAGCCCCACTCCCTTCCGGTGCGTCTGCAGCTGCGCTCTCAAGGTGTTAGTGAAGTGTCTTTTCTAGCAGAAGCTCAGGCGAAGTGAGGAGGTGGCAGACTCTCGTTGTCAAAGGGGGGCTTTCAGGATCAAAGATGACCAGCCCCTAGCCCCGATAGTCAACGCGTGGCAGTGTTTAACAGCCCCAGGCAGTCGTAGCAGCAATAGTCAATAATTTCATAGCGACCGTTTGGAAACAAGTGGGGTGGGGAAAACCCTGGCTCCAGGCAGCGATAGGAACACGAATGAAGGTAGTCAGCGTTCTGCAGCAACAGCTGCCCCGCAAGGGCAACTCCCCACAATGTCTATAACTTGCACAAGTAACAATAATCAAAGTTTGGATGGCCGCTGGTCTCCAAAGCAGTAACGACCAGCCTCCTCTTCTCTTCTGTTGTCGCTCACAGTCTCAGGTCTCGTCGGTATCAAAACCCCTTCCCCCTTTCCTTTATTGTTAAAAATCTGAATTTAGCAACCCCAGCAACTTTATCTCTCCTCACTCTCTCTCTTACCTCCACTTGGGATATCCCCCCTGCGAAAGAAAGCAGTAAAATTCCACCTTCTCTCTCTCCTTCCCTCTCCTTCACAGAAAGGGATCAGCTAAAACCTCAAATCCCTCCTCAACTTCACCTGGTCTCTCTCCGACAACAGCAACAACACCCCCCCACCCCCTTTCTTCTTTTTCTTTCCTTCTTCCCGATTCACGCCCGCTGCGCCCAAAACCGGCAGCGGCTGTCTGAGCTTCTCTCTCCCCAGGCAGGCTCCTGCAAAGCCTTTCGGCCAGCCCCGCTACATTCTAAAACCTTCTAAAACCATAAATGTATATTTCAAAATGTTGAAAAGGGTTGCAGTTTGCTGTTTTCTAGTATTATTTCTTTGGTATTATCTCTGTATATGCTTTGTGTTATTGTTCGTTTTGTAAGCTACCTTGAGAAAGTTCTCTGAGAAAACGGGTATGCAATAAATAAATAAATTGCAGTTGCTTTAGAAATGTTTCTTTTGCCATTGCTTAATTTTTCAAAGGAAAAATCTATTTATTAGGAAGTAAGCAGGGTTTTTTTTTAACCTCTTTTTAACCTCTCAATTTGTCATAAAGAAAGGACTTAGTCCGCGTGGAGGCCACTGTTATAGAAAAGACTGAATCTTGGCCAAGAGTTAATGTGAAGTTCCGTCGAAGAAAGAGTTATGAGACGAGACAAAGTAAGATGAAAAACATACATAAAATTTTTAATCTAAACTCCTACTATGCCAAATAATTGTAATAATTGAAGGAACTATGTATATACAGGGAAAAAATTAATTTGAGTTTCAAGAACTATAGTATAAGTATCTCCCTTTCTCTTTTTGCCATTTTAAAAAGATAAAATGTCATTTGGGTCTATGTTGTTGTAGCAACAGTGCAAATATAGCTTGTTGTTGCCCTCTTTCAGCTTTTGTTTCATTGAGGCTGTAATTTATTTTGATTTATTGTATTCATTGAGAAAATGTATAAGGCTGCCCCATTCACCATAACTCCAGAAAGCTTACAGAAGTAAGATTGGAATAAACCCTCAATCCCCTGACAACAACAATCAGATCACTTGATGGGCTCCATATCACCGGGGTCCCTGGGCCTCCTGGTAAACCAATCTCTTCATGGCCTTTCAAAAGAGTATCAAGGTGGGGGCCAATCTTATCTCCGCAGGGACGATGTTCCACTGGGAGGGAGCTAACACCGAGAAGGCCCTTAATCGAGGGGACCCTGCCTCCCCACTCTTGTGAGTTGAGTAGATGTAACTGTGAAAGATGGTCCTTCAGATAATTTCCTAGAAGTCTCATATTCAAAAATTAAGTTTAACCCTACTTAGATATCAGAAATCAGCCAATGTTGCATAGTTGCTGTTAGCTTATTGGATTTTTAGCAACAGTACCCTTTAATTATACCTGATTTAGATTTCACTGCATTTAAAATTTTTTTAAAGCTAGACAGTTCCTTTCCAATAGCATGTTGATTCTATACCTATTAACATGGTGAAACAATGTATTTTAACAAACTTTGATGTTATTCTAACGAAGCAGTTTCTTCCAAAGTGATGGTTCATTTCTCAATACTACAAACAAGCAACCTTTAAGATATATATTCTGTGATCAGTCATGGAATCATTTAGCTCTCTTTGGCAACTTATAAAGTAATTCACTTGAAAAGCGAAGTCCTGAATTGAATTTTCTCATTTTTTTTTCAGTTGTCGTTCAGCCGCAAACTGTTCTCCGGATAAACTCCATTGAAATTGCCCCTGTTCTGTCATGATGGATTGGTTGTAAGATCTTGGGAGCATTAAAAAAAAATAGAAAATGTTCATATTGCATTTGATTATTCTCAGTAAACATTTTTTTTAAAAAATATATCATTGCCATCACCAAATATCTTCATTGCTTGCGTACTTTTTAAAAAAATTAAAATACTATAAACAAAATTAAAATTAAAAAAACAAAAAGCAAAACAATATATAGATATAATCAGCATTATATACTATTTAACAAAAACACAATGAATCTGTTATAAAAACAAGATTATTAAATATATTAGTACAATTAAGATAATCCAAATTAAAATGCTTGCATTTTAAGATTTCAAACTGATAAGAAAATGCTAGCACCAAATTTCCAGGGAGAATTTTTAATAGCTGTTCCATAGCCAGAAAGGTTCTCTCTTATTTTGCACTAAGGCTGTATTTGCACATAAACTAAGGGGTCTAGGACAGTGGTGGCAAACCTATGGCACGCGTGCCAGAGGTGGCACTCAGAGACCTCTCTGTGGGCACACCTGCTGTCCCCCCAGCCCCACCTCCACCCACGGCCCCCTCTGCACCAGCAGCCCCCCAAAGGAGAGTCGCCCCCGGGCACGGTCCACACGGAGCAGCATAGCCAAGGAAATGGCAGCTGGGCAGCGGGGACAAGAATCTGCCCTCGCTCCCCGCCGCATGCAGATGATGCGAGGCGTGGGCGGAGGGCGTGGCCGCCATGGCGCTGTGGCGGGCTGTGGAGGCAGTGGGTGGCCCTGCGGGCAGGCGGGGGTGTGGGCAGGGACAGGGGACGAGGGCAGGGCAGGCAGAGCAGGGGCGGTTTTTGGGCACTCGATCTCTAAAAGGTTCACCATCACTGGTCTAGGACAATTCGCCAAGGCCAATTTGCTGTGGGACAACTCACCGCAGTACAATTCAACCCTGTATTAATCATTTCATTCAGTTACTTTTATTATTGTTGATCATGTTTTCGTCAGATTTATTGTAAGTCTTATATTTCAGGATTGACTTTATTTTATTATTATTGGCCACTATTCCATTGAAATTAATTTAGCTTTTGTATTTGAATTGAATTGAATTGTCCTGTGAAGAATTGGCCATGATGAGTTGGCTACTGTGAGTTGGCTGTAGTGAGTTGTCCCATTCTGTAAACCAGGATATATTCTGACCACGATTTAGAAGAGGAGGAAAGTACTCAGGGCCAATTGCTAGTTTGTTTTCTCCATTTCTTGTGTCAATACTCAGGAGAAATGAGCAGAGTATAACAAATCCAAAATAAGGTAAGATTATGGATTTGGATACAGCTTTGTGATGGTTAATATGTGCCAGGATTCACAAACTGATTTAAAATTATGATTTCAAATTGAAAGTTTTGGCCAAACATCATGGATTGTTTCTTGGAACGGGTTTTTATGTCACTCAAACGAAGAATAAGTAAACTACAGGATGACTCACCATTATAGTACATGTGAATAGTATTTGGATATACTTGGAGACAAGCTTCCCATATATGCCTCTAGAGCAGGGGTAGTCAACCTTGGCTCTTTTATGACTCGTGGACTTCAATTCCCAGAATTCCTGAGCCAGCTTAGCTGGCTCAGGAATTCTGGGAGTTGAAGTCCACGAGTCATAAAAGAGCCAAGGTTGACTACCCCTGCTCTAGAATGTGGAAGCTCTGATAAAGATTCCAGCAATGGTACCTATCAGTAAATTGGAGCTGAGCAACACTAAAAAGCAAATGGTGAATAATATGTATAATAATTCATTGTTCATTTATCATAGCATCATTATAAGCTCCTTTGCAAGTCAATGATACTAAATATATACTGTATTAATTTCGGATTTAGATATGTACTATGTTCTCCTTAAACTGACTTTCTACAGGTAGTCCTTGACTCACAAGCATAATTGGGACTGGGATTTCAATCATAAGGCCCACCAATTGTAAGTCAAGGCACCCACATGACCAAACCCGATTTTACAACTGGTTTTACACTGATTGCTAACTGAAATGTATTAACCCAATTTCCCAAACAGACGTTTTTAGCTGGAAACGGGGGGAAAAAATTGCAAATTATGATCACATGACTTCAGAATGCTGCAACCAGTTGTAAATGTGAACCAGTTGCTAAGCACTTGAAATGCAGCCATGTGACTGAGGGGCATTAAAAAAAAATTGGCTGCCAGAAGTGCTTTTACAATGTTCAGAAGTGTAGTTTTCATGTTTAATAAAATAATTCTACAGCTCTTACAGTATTTATTAGAACTGGTTTGTTCCCATTAAATTGCACTACTGTATCCATAGTGTATCTGGGACAATTTAAATGCTCAAATTGTGGTGCCGATATCTCTGGGAACTTATGAAGTTTACACAGAAAAACCGAGAAAGAGCTTTTGTTGTTGTTAGTTGCGAAGTCGTTTTTTTTTCAGTGGTATCAATAGGGACACTGTCATTGGGGAAAGAATAGATTATGTTGCTAAAGCTTGTTAATTTTTCACTTAAACAAGTGCCATGGATTTTTTAAAGGTTCAGCCTGTATCCGTGGCCTTTTTTTTCTTTTAAAATATTTATATTCATTGAATTTATATAATTAATAAAGCAATTCATGGGGTTTTTTTTAATATGTGAACCTCTTGACTTAGATTTTAGGTCTGGTTCATAGTAAATATTCATACCTATTGCTCAAAGACTGCAGCATCAGGAGATGGTTGGTTTATCAATGGATCATCGCTAATTTAAATTGCAGGCAAAATGTTCATATTCTCTTATTATGCAGCCTTCTCATTGAAGCTGGTTTGCACATTATGTTGCCAATCAAAGATGCAGAAACAGCTGTCACTGGTGCCTTTTAGATGTTAACATTGCTATAACAGATGCTATAGAAATTGAATAAATAAATATTCCTCAGAGACATATAAAGAGTTATACATATGCAAAGAGAATCATAGCCCCAGAACTCTGGAAAATATCTATGTGAATCTGTTTCACTCCTAGAGCAACTGGAGAAAAGTAGAATTGGATTTGCACCTTCTGCCTTTGGAAATCTCTGAAATGAATATTACCATGTGGCAAACATTACTTTGACAAACATTTGAGGCTTGACACCGCAATGATAAATATGCTCTATTTATTCCAACAATAGTTTTGGGGAATATCTTTGTATGGCTTGATTTATTTTTAGTTTATTTTTCTAGGATATTATGGGTCCATTCTAACTGCAAACAAAAAATACATTTTAATAATCTGGATTCTGACAGCCTGCAAATAGCAGTCACTGAGTTGCAGGTGGGGAGTTGCACATGGAGTTGCAATCCTGATTAACAATGATGGAAAAAAAATACTGCAACAATTTATCATCATATCATATATTAGCTGGATCAATAATTGATGCTTAGTTGTAAGACAGAAAAAGTTTTTAACTTTTAACAAGAGCCACCATAATAGCTTAAAAAAAGGACAATCCATTCCTAATCTCATAATATTGGTAATAATTGATATGAATATTAATATTCATGCAGTGTTCATAGGAGTAGCATGGTAGCCAAGGAGTGAAGACACTCGCCTCAACTCAGAAAGTTGAGAGTTGAATCTTAGGTAGCCGAAGATGTTTCTCTCTTAGGGTGCAAAGAACAAAATATCTGCTGCAAACTCTGCGTGGCATCAGGAAGGGCATCCAGCCAGTAAATGCTCACCTCCATCCAGTTGCCCCAAATCTATCCCAAATTAAGAGATTCAGGGTTGTATAAAGATATATTTGTGCAGTGTTCATACATAATATTTCATTCATTTTAACTAAGAAAAATAATCACATAAATCAGTATCTTTATGTTACTAGTACAGTGGTTCTCAACCTGTGGGTCGGGACCCCATTTGGGGTCGATTGACCATTTCATGGGGGTCACCAAGCAAGGCTGTCCGCCATTTTTTTTGTCCGCCATATTTTTCCCCCTTTTCCGGCGGGTGCCTTACCTCCCTTGGGCTGGGCCAGCTGGTGGTCAGCCTGCTCCGTCTCTGCCGCTTGCCAGCTATGCCTCGGCCGGCGCAGGGGGCGAACCACGCATGCACGGCGCTCCCGGGCAGGGAAAGTCCTCGACTTACGACCGGTTTAGTCCTCGACTTATGACCGGTTTAGTCCTTGACTTACGACCGGTTTAGTCCTCGACTTGCGACCGGTTGGGGTCGTGGCATTAAAAAGGTTGAGAACCACTGTACTAGTAGAAGGCTCAGACTACTTTAAGGCTTTGCACACTTACTAGGAAACATTATGTTTAAATCACTAAGATTGACTTTTCTGTGAATTTCTTGTAATAAGGCTATTTAGTTCACAAATTAGTGCAAATGAAGGAGGGCTTCTTGAACTACCATGAGTCAGGCTTTTAATAGTTCTGTGCTAGCCCTCTTATCTACCATCTTATTTTTTTCTCCATGTCCCATCTTTACTACACTTCCACAAACTTAATAAATTGTACTACCGAGCACATGAGGATAAAACAGCATCAAGATGACTATATTCACATGGCACCCCAAATTAAATTCTCATTAGGTCCACATCATCTGAACCTGGACTGTAGACCAAATAATGGTTACCATGGAATTATTTATTTATAGTTGGAATCAAGGTTCGTAAAAGTTAAGTAAGTAAAAGGTTTACTCAGATTGATCTTGTTTACATTAATCCTTATTTTATCTGGACTTAAATGGAAGGGTTAATCTGAAAGTTAATCTTGCTTTCTGGTTCTAGACACAGAGATAGGCAGCTGTAGAGTGGAACTATTTAATCTCTGCTGCTTCTCCCCTCCCCCCAATACAAAGTGCCTATTTCATTGTTCTGATGTTTGGAAATGTACTTATTTCTATTCAGCAACAAAACTTTATAATATTCTTTGGATTTGTATTAAAGGATGCAGACAGATGACGCTAGAGAGAGAGAGAGCTGCAAATCATCTTCCATATTATTTACACCATTCTGCATCTGAATTTCAAGTTATGTGTTGAAAGGACAATGAGAAGGAAGTCTGGCAGATAGCAAGACTGATGAAAATGCTTGGGCTCCCTTGGATTTTTCTAAGAATTTGCCA